TGAAGCAGCTAGGTTTTAGGATGGTAGTGGAAAGGATTTTCTTCCAGAGCCTCAGAGTATTCAGGCTCATTTCAGAGCCACCCTATAAAATGCTAGATGCAGTGGTTCGCCGCCTTGTTATGACAGTTTCTGGTAAATGTAGCTGATTAACATTTGAAGTTTGGTTTTCCTGACCCAACCATGATACCAAGTAAAGATCTGATCTTTATAGGGTACTGGGCATTGTTGGTTTATGGTATTAATAGTGATTCCAAACACACAAACAAATTAGAGTTTTTATATCCAAATGGAGATTGATCCTTTTAGTTTTGTTACCTGGTAAGACTTCTGCATTTATTCCAATGATTTGCCAGTGTTTGAGTTTTGCATCTTCTCTTTTAGAATTGCCTTTAAAGCCTCAACAATATTCCTTTCAGTACACTAAAGTAGTGACATTTTTATTCTCTGAGGGTAATTTTCAGAAAGACCTAGACATCATTTGGAGCCTCGTCAGATAAACAAAGCGGACCATCAGATTGGGAATTTAAAGAATAATGTATCATTCGAAAGTATTACGGCGAAAGTAATATTGTGTTGTGGCTTGTAAGAAACTGGCTCCAAAAGCAGTTTCCAAGAAAGCTTATTCATTGGAATAAATTTACCCCTTTCAAAGTGACTCCTTTAAAGGAAATTCATTTGATGTATAAGTTCAGTTTCATGTATTTAAAATTCATCATCTTTATCTCATAGTTACATCTTATATAAGAACTTGGGGAGGTTCCAAAGCTAAACAGTGAAGAACATTAAATTACTCTGGCAGTCACCAAAAAACTGTGCCTATGCAGATAAATGAATAACAGGGATATTGAGAGGATGTCTATGACACCAGAGGGAGCAGGTAGAAATCTCCTGAGACAGTCTAGGGTTATAATTATAGACTTGTAAAGGCAGGAGACAATTATCCTGAAGATTTCAGGGACTTCTGTGTGTTCCCTTGGGCTCAACAAATTTGAAGAGGGAATTGATAGCCAAATTGTTTAGGATTCTTATATATTTATTTATACACATAATTTTGTATACAAATTTTATGTTTTTCTAATTGTAAATATTTAAAAATCATAAAAAATATAGATGAGAAAAAAGCTTTTTATAATCACACCTATCAGAGAAATCCTGACTTTTTTTTTAATAGATCTTTATTGGAGTATAATTGCTTCCCAAGACCGAGTTAGTTTCTGTTGCACAACAAAGCGAATCAGCCATACGCATACACATGTCCCCATATCCCCTCCCTCTTGAGCCTCCCTCCCATCCTTCCTATCCCACCCCTCTAGGTCATGGCAAAGCACCGAGCTGATCTCCCTGTGCTATGCTGCTGCTTCCCACCAGCCAGCTATTTTACATTCGGTAGTGTATATGTCAATGCTGCTCTCACTTCGCCCTCCCACCCCATGCCATCAAGTCCATTCTCTATGTCTACCTCTTTATTCCTGCCCTGCAACTAGGTTCATCAGTACCACTCTTTTTTTTTTCTTTTTTTTAGATTCTATATATATGTGTTAGCGTACGGTATTTGTTTTTCTCTTTCTGACTTACTTCACTCTGTATGACAGACTCTAGGTCCATCCACCTCACTACAAATAACTCAGTTTCATTTATTTTTCTGGCTGAGTAATATTCCATTATATATATGTGCCACATCTTCTTCATCCATTCATCTGTTGATGGACATCTAGGTTGGTTCCATATCCTGGCTATTGTAAATAGTGCTGCAGTGAACATTGTGGTGCATGTCTCTTTTTGAATTATGGTTTTCTCAGAGTATATGCTGGGTGGAATTGCTGGGGGTGGAATTGCTGGGTCATATGATAGTTCTATTTTTAGTTTTTAAGGAACCTCCATACTGTTCTCCACAGTGGCTGTATCAATTTACATTCCCACCAACAGTGTAGGAGGGTTCCCTTTTCACCACACCCTTTCCAGCATTTATTGTTTCTAGCTTTTTTGATAATGGCCATTCTGACCGGCGTGAGGTGATACCTCATTGTAGTTTTGAGTTGCATTTCTCTAATAATTAGTGATGTATTTTTTAATTTCTTCAGTGATCTCTTGGTTATTTAGTATCAGTTAGATCTGTCTGGTCTGTTGTGTCATTTAAAGCTTGTGTTTCCGTATTTATTTTCTGTTAGGATGATCTGTCCATTGGTGTAAGTGGGGTTTTAAAGTCCCCTCCTGTTATTGTGTTACTGTCAGTTTCTCCTTTCATGGTTGTTAGCATTTGCCTTATGTATTGGGGTGCTCCTGTGTTGAGTGCATAGACATTTATAATTGTTATATCTTCTTCTTGGATTGATCCTTTGACCATTATGTAGTGTCCCTCCTTATCTCTTGTAACAGTCTTTTTTAAAGTCTATTTTATCTGATACGAGTATTGCTACTCCAGCTTTCTTTTGATTTCCATTTGCATGGAATGTCTTTTTCCAACCGTTCACTTTCAGTGTGTATGTGTCCCTAGGTCTGAAGTGGGTCTCTTGTAGACAGCATATATATAGGTCTTGTTTTTGTATCCATTCAGCCAGTCTGTGTCTTTTGGTTGGGGCATTTAATCCATTTACATTCAAGGTTATTATTGATATGTATGTTCCTATTACCATTTACTTAATTGTTTTGGGTTTGTTTTTGTGGGTCTTTTACTTCTCTTGTGTTTCCTGCTTAGAGAAGTTTCTTTAGCATTTGCTGTAAAGCTGGTTTGGTGGTGCTGAATTCTCTTAGCTTTTGCTTGTCTGAAAAGCTTTTGACTTCTCCATCGAATCTGAATGCGATCCTTGCTGGGTAGAGTAATCTTGGTTGTAGATTTTTCTCTTTCATCACTTTAAGTATATCCTGCCACTCCCTTCTGGCCTGTAGAGTTTCCACTGAAAAATCAGCTGATAACCTTATGGGGATTCCTTTGTATGTTATTTTTTGTTTTTCCCTTGCAGCTTTTAATATTTTTTCTTTGAATTTAATTTTTGTTAGTGCAATTAATTTGTGTCTTGGTATATTTTTCCTTGGGTTTATCCTTTATGGGACTCTCTGTACTTCCTGGACTTGGGTGACCATTTCCTTTCCCATGTTACGGAAGTTTTCAACTATAATCTCTTCAAACGTTTTCTCAGACCCTTTCTTTTTCTCTTCTTCTTCCAGGACCCCTATAATTCGAATGTTGGTGCATTTAGTGTTATCCCAGAGGTCTCTGAGACTGTCTTCAATTCTTTTCATTCTTTTTTCTTTATTCTGCTCCTCAGCAGTTATTTCTACCATTTTGTCTTCCAGCTCATTTATTCGTTCTTCTGCCTCAGTTATTCTGTTATTGATTCCTTCTAGTGCATTTTTCATTTCAGTTATTGTGTTGCTCATCTGTGTTTGTTCTTTAGTTCTTCTAGATCTTTGTTAAACATTTCTTGTATTTTCTCAATCTGTGCTTCCATTCTATTTCCGAGATTCTGGATCATCTTTACTATCATTACTCTGAATTTTTTTTCAGGTAGATTGCCTATTTCCTCTTCATTTATTTGGTCTTGTAGGTTTTTACCTTGCTCCTTCATCTGTGACATATTTTTGTGCCATCTCATTATTATTATTTTTTTAATGTGTGGAATTGTGTTCTTGTCTTACTGGTTGTTTGGCCTGAGGCTTCCAACACTGGAGCTTGTAGGCTATTGGGTAGAGCTGGGTCTTGGTGCTGAGATAAGGAACTCTGTGAGACCTCACTCCAGTGCTGGGGTCTGAGGTTCTCTGTTAGTTGTCTATTAGTTCCTGGGGTCTGAGGTTCTCTGTTAGTCTAGTGGTTCGGATTCGGAGCTCCCACCGCAGGAGCTTCCCCCCGACCCTGGGCTGGCGAATCAAGGACCCACAAGCCATGTGGGGTGGCAAGAAAAAAAAAAGGAGAAAAATAATAAAGTAAAAAATAAAATTAGACGAAGAAACTAACAAATATGTTAGAAAGAATGTAAAAATATAGGTATGTCAACAACCGGAAGGTATATCAGTACCACAATAGTAACAGAGGGAAAGGAAAAAAAAGGGAGGGCGGGGGAAGGCCTTGGCTGTGGAGGGCGGGGCCTAAACAAGGGCGAGTTTTGGGCAGTGGGCGGGGCCAATGCTCAGGACCCACAGGGCTGGAAAAGGCCCTGGGTGCTGTTGGGGGTGGGGCTTAGGCTCAAGGAACAGAAGGGGCACAGGCATGCCCCCCACCGCAGTCTCAGAGGGCACGGGACCTCACCTGGGAGCCCAGCAGGCTCCCTGCATCTGAGTGGGCTGGGTGATGGCCCTCCACTCCTCTCCTGCTCTTCTTGGAAGAGTCCCTCCCACCTGCCTCTTCTGATTTCCCTGGCCTCAGGGGAGCTGATCCTGTCTGGCCTCCACTTCTCCTACCCCCTTCGGTCCCCCTACGTCCTACCGGTTCACTTTGGGTTTCCTCCCATCTCCTCGGGGGTCAGAGTTCCCCCACCAGTGGCCGTCAGGCACCCTAGTTGTGGGGAGACGCTAACTCCACGTCTTCCCACACTGCCATCTTGATTCCTCCCCGCCACTGACCTTTTACGATCCTTTCTTCTATGTGTTGTTTTATAAGATTGAGATCATACTGAACTTAATTTTCAATATTTTGTCTTACTTATTAAGTCAATAAAAATTCTATGTGAACAAAATATTTAATGGCAGTCTTTTAGTTTTTTACTATCTAGCTACACATGGTTCATAAAGTTTACTGTTAAGCTCTGTATAGAACAAGTTTATTATTGAAGAAATAATGAAAACTTATACTATTTCTTCTCTCACATTCATGGTATCAAAAGTATCAGAAAAAGAAATTATGAAGCAAAGAATCATAAGGCATTTGATGGGATTATGCTTTCTTAGTGCCACAGACTCCATTTATTGGTTATTTGTAAATGTTTTCCTTGCTAATATACAGCCGCAGTCACTTTCCTAGACCCAGAACTAGGAAAAAAATTAACTGTTTCTCTCTCTTGCTGAAGGTGGTTGGAGGTAAAGTGAAGAAGCCCGGCAAACGTGGTCGAAAGCCAGCCAAAATTGACTTGAAGGCAAAACTCGAGAGGAGCCGGCAGAGTGCAAGAGAATGCCGGGCCCGAAAAAAACTGAGATATCAGTATTTGGAAGAGTTGGTATCCAGTCGGGAAAGAGCCATTTGTGCCCTCAGAGAGGAACTGGAAATGGTAAGAAAGTCTGTCAATAAACGCATGAAACAATCAACCTAAGCTATATTAAAACATGAAGATACCAGTTTTTAGCTATCCAGTTGACGAACGTGGGACAGCACATTCATCTGTTAGCCAGCACATAGGCAAATAAGCATCTTCATACATTGCTGGTGGGAGTGGAAAGTGACTGTTTCTTTAAGGGATTGTTTATGACAGGAAAAAAAAATCGAAAATAACCAAAATGTTCAGCAGTAGGGGATTGGTTAAATTATACTACATTCATGTGTTGGACTGCTTTGTAGGCCATGAAAATCACAGTGCACATGTATGTTTACTGATGTAAAAAGACACTTACAAGATATTGCTAAGTGGAAAAAGCAGTGCAACGGTATGTAGTAATATGCATAGTATGATACTATTTGGCCTGGTTTTATTCATTCATTCATTCAGACTTCAGGTAGTAGCTGTAGACATATACAAGAGAATAGGTAAAAGGGAATAGAAACCCCATTAGTACTGTGAGCTCAGGGGAGGGGGTGACAGGTTGGAAAAGAGAGAGATAATGCTAACATGATCATTACAAAACTGGGACAGGCTACCCCCAGCTTTTTAGAAGGTAAGAGAATTAAGTCGGGTCATGAAGAGAGTCCAAATGTACACTATTCAGTAGACTTTTTTTTAATACGTTGAATTGGACTTGTAAATTATTTTTCACCTTCTGCACTGTAAGCCACTGGAGGACATAATCTTTGGACTGATTAATCTTTTATACCCCCAAAGTCCATAGTACACACTCTGGTAGAAAGTAGATGTTTAGTGAATATTTATGAAATAGAGAAAGGAAATTACAAAATTATTTATTTTAGGAGTAGAAATAATAATGTGACAGTCAGCAAAAAGAGATGAATTCTAATGAATGGCACTCCATGGGGAGATATTCTTTTAGCCAGAGGGCCCTTTTTAATCTGAGCACTACTCCAGCACATCACAAGAAGATTCAGCAGTAGTTTTTCACCCTCTTCTGAAGATAGCAGGCCTCATCCATGTCCTAGGTTATAAACAGGAATACAACAGAAGGTGGGATTCCCAGCAGTCAATTTGACCTCTAGTTATGGGAGTTCTTATGTCTAGGATTTCCACCTGTGGTTGCTGAACTCTGACTAGTAAAATTTTATTTAAATATATTTTACATATTTCAGTACAAGCAGTGGTGCATGGCAATGGACCAAGGGAAAATCCCTTCTGAAATAAAGGCCCTACTCACTGGAGAAGAGCAGAACAAATCTCAGCAGAACTCAAGCAGGCACCTGAAAGCTGGGAAGACAGACGCTAACAGCAATTCCTGTGAGTACAGTACATGGGAGAGTTTATCTTTCGAAGAGTGACTTAAAGTAGGCTTTCTGTTGACCACTTTCCTTGCTGTGTCTTCAAATAAAATAAAATGTTGATGTCATTTGTAATACACTAATAAGCAAGTGAACTGGCGTTAGATTCTAAATATTGAAATGCGTTATACATGGGGTCTATAAAGAGCAACTGATAAATTCATGGGAAAATTTTAAAGTAGACTCAGTCAATAAGTGAGAGTGTACCAGTCTAGTTATTGTTTTGGCCGCACTGCACGGCTTGCGGGATCTTAGTTCCCCGACCAGGGATTGAACCTGCACCCTCGGCAGTGAAAGCGCCAAGTCCTAACCCCTGGACTGCCAGGGAATTCCCTAGTTACTGTTAATAATAACAATACCTTTGATTTTGATTTACAAAGTATTTTCACTTATGTTTATCGTAATTATTTCCTCCAGTAATTGTGTGAAGTATAATTGTACTTTTTATTTTATAGATGAAGAAATAGCACAGGTGCTGTTTGGTAAGGTGCCCAAGGTCACACAGCTATAATGGTAGAACCTGTCCTCACCTAGTTCAGGCTCTATCTAGTACAGTAGCCCATCACCTGTAAGGATTTTTTTTTAATTAAGGAGAAATTCACATAACAAAATTAATCATTTTAAAGTCACAATTCAGAGGAATTTAGTACGTTCACAGTGTTGTACAACTACCACCTCCGTCTGGTTAGAAAACATTTTATCACCCCAAAAGAAAACTCCAAATGCATTAGCAGGTTGCTCGCTGTTACCCCCTCCCTCCAGCCCCTGTTAACTATGAATCTGCATTCTGTCTCTATGGATTTACCTCCTCTGCATATTTCGTATAAATGGAATCACACTGTGTGACTTTCTGTGTCTGGCTTCTTTGACCTAGCATAATGTTTTCCAGGTTCATCCACCTTGTAGCATGTATCAGTACTTCATTCCATTTTATGACTGCATAATATTCCATTGTATATGTATACCACAATTTGTTATCCATTTATCCACTGATGGATATCTGTTTCTACCTTTTGCTATTGTGAACAGTGCTACTATAAACATGCATGTACAAGTATGTATTTGAGTACCTGTTTTCAGTTGTTTTGGGTATATACCTAGAAGTGGAATTGCCGGGTCATATGGTAATTCTATATTTAACTTTTATTTATTTTTTAAAATATTTATTTATTTATTTTTATTTCGGCTATGCCGGGTCTTAGTTGCGGCATGCTGACTTCTTAGTTTCATCATGTATGTGGGATCTAGTTCCCTGACCAGGGATCAAACCCAGGCCCGCTGCATTGGGAGCACGGAGTCCTACCCACTCGACCACCAGGGAAGTGCCTATATTTAACTCTTAGAGGAACCAAAAATTGTTTTCCACAGTGGCTGAAATATTTTACATTACCACCATAGTATATGAAGTTTCCCATTTCTCTGTGTCTTGTCAACACTTTTTATTTTCCATTTTTGAAAACTGTAGCCTTCCTAGTGAAGTGGCATCTGATTGTGGTTTTGATTTACATTTCCCTAATGACTGATGACATTGAGCAACTTTTCATGTGCTTGTTGGCCATTTGTATGTCTTCTTTGAAAAAATGTCTCTTTATGTCCCTTGCCCGTGTTTTAATTGTCTTTCATTATGTTGTTGAATTGTAAGAGTTCTTTATATATTCTGGATTCTAGACCTTTATCAGATATATGATTACACATATTTCTCCCATTCTGTAGGTTTTTTCGCTTTCTTGATAGTATCCTTTGGTGTACAAAAGACTTTAATTTTGAGGAAGACCATTTTTAATTTTGTTGTTCATGCTTTGGGTACCATATCTAACAATCCATTGCCAAATCGAAGGTCATGAAGATTTGCCCTGTGTTGTCTCCTAAGAGTTTTATGGTTTTAGGCCTTATATTTAGATCATTGATCTATTGAGTTAATTTTTCTATATGGTGAGAGATAGAAGTCCAGCTTAATTCTTTTGCATGTGAATATACAGTTGTCTCAGCACCATTTGTTGGACAGACTGTTAAGGTTTTAGAATGAAGATGCCATATGTTGATTTCTTCATCATTGTGATTGCTTTGGGAGCACTTGAAAATAGTTATAAGGAAATGTTACAAACTTTTTATCTTTTAAAAAATTTTTTATAAAACTGAAGGATTGGCTTTTTATAGCTGTTATTAGATGAGGTAACATTTGCCTTAATCTAAATTCAATTAATGAAAAAAAGCCAAAACAGTTCAGTTTTCTTTCAGTCTGTATTTGAAAATAGCCTTCCCGTAGATACTAAATTAAAAAAAAAAAAGCATGCATTTTAAAACAGATTAACCGAACTTCATTGACTTTAAAAGCATTCTTGAGACTTCCCTGTGCCTGGTGGTGCAGTGGTTAAGAATCCACCTGCCAGTGCAGGGGACACTGGTTCGAGCCCTGGTCCGGGAAGATCCCACATGCCACGGAGTAACTAAGCCCGTGCGCCACAACTACTGAGCCTGCGTGCCACTACTGAAGCCCACGCACCTGGAGCCCATGCTCCGCAACAAGAGAAGCCACTGAGATGAGTAGCCTGTGTACTGCAAGGAAGAGTAGGCCCCGCTCACCGCAACTAGAGAAAGCCCGCGCATAGCAACGAAGACCCAAGGCAGCCCCAAATAAATAAATAAATAAATAAATATATTAAAAAAAAAAAAAAAAGCATTCTTACATTGGTAACTTTATTTTTCAGGGTGAAGAGCATATAAAATGATGAGTCAGTGATTGAAGCCAATATTCTGATTCTTATTGGAGGATGAATAGGCAAGATTGTACTTCTTGGCTCCATTTACTACCTACTGCTCAGTCATCTCTGTAAATTTGCAATTTCTACCAAAATGTGTGATCATAGATCTCAAAGGATTTTGCTTTAGTTTTCAACACTTAGAAAATTTACAGACATTCAGACCTGTTCTGGTTGGTATTGCCACCCATGGCATTTAACATGTTGCAATGCTTGAAAGTACAGTAGAGAGAAGGAGTGAAGATTATATTTTTTGCACTTCAATTCCACATTGCTTTATTGGTTAATTTATATTCTTTCCATGTAATTCATGTAATTGTATGTGTATGTGTGTTTAGGTGTCACTTCCTTTCATGTTTTTGATTGCCCTACAAAGAGAAACCAAATGGGCTGATTACTGACTATAAGTTCTCAGCCTTTATGGACCTAATCTTATTCCTTTATATTTACTTGAGTAATGTTTATTTTCTGCATGAACCATTTCTCCTGTGAGCCATTCCAGCATAAGCTGTGAATATGTATTAACAAATTTATACATTTCTATTTTTATAATCCATAATGATATGCCCGTTTTAAATAATGTACACATTAACAAAATCCATCAAGGAAGCCCTTAAGATAGCCTCTATTTAAAACTTTTGTTGCTGTCTTTTCTAACTGTATTTATACAGGTTTGCTAGGGCCTAATCTGTACTTGGAGAATAATTAGTCAAACTTTATTTTTAAATAAGAAGTAACCTGTTAGGCATTTCAGTAACATACATCGTCTTGACAACCCATACAGTGTGTTTCTATTGTATGTCTATATATGTATATGGGGAGGGCAGGAGTGAATGTTCACACACATTTCGTTTTGTAATCACCTAATTTGGAGAATTTTTCTAAAGAAAATAGGATGAAATTAGCTGCTGAGATGGAGTTTCTGCCTCAAGAGATCTGGAACGAAATGAGGGACACATTGCTGGTGGATCTAATGGCGGTAGCCATAACCAGAACACTTAGCTTCTTCCCTGATTTGAGTTTCCTTATGAATGTATTCTGAGCCAGAGAGAAACACACTGTGGGTGTGCATCCGATTCAGCCCTGGCCATGCCTCCACTCTGGAGTGAAGCACTGAAGCAGAGTCGCCAGGGGGCCTGGCAGGAGGGGCAGAAGGCAGAGGAGTTCCCTCCAGTTCCCACCACAACTACCTTTGCTTTCTTCCTGGCTACCAAATGGAGTGATGGTTGAGGAGTTACACTCAATATGATACACTCAGATCTGGGAATCTTTTGATGTCCCCACTGGGACACTTTAACACTCTCTCTTCTCTTTCCCATCCTTAAATCAGGAGTTGTGTTCTCTGTTGCTGCTAAATTGTAATTGCTCTTTGCTCTAATGAAGCAAACATTTGGCTTCCAAACAATATGTGTTTTCTTGCGAAGTAGTTTAAGAGGAGGCATCATAGTCTAGCTTGACTGTGAGGGGGAACATGAGATGGACCACATAGTTTCAGGTGATGAGGTACCTCCCTCCTTCTCTGAGGCCATGCATTTGAATTAAGTGCTTCCCCTAAGCCTGAGTTCCTGAAGATCTCTTGTGCTTAGGTTACAGACTCAGATCTCTAGTCTAGTACTGTGTGACAACTGATATACCACTAGCCCAGTCTGTTGGGCCTCTCTGTGTTTTGGAGGACTGGGGGTTTAAGGGTATTTAATGTCTTTTTAGGATCACAAATATAGATAGATTAAAGATTGTTAATATTCAGGCCTTCAGAATTTAAGTTTTTTAAATATAGTGTTCAGATTGTAATGGGTATGTTTTTGCCATCTGGTCTACTCAAATGTATATTTTTATTTTGCAAAACAGCCCAAGACTTACTCTACGTTGCTTTGTTCAGTACCTTTTGAATTCCCCAAAAGAGTTGTTTTCAAAACAAACATTCCAAATGAATGTGGCTCTTCAATGGAATGTCCCCATTGTGCTTGAAGTGTTTCTTCTCTGGTTGTGACTTTAAATTTTAGGCTCATTTGAGCTACTCCCCTTCCCTTCAGTATCTTTACAAGAGCAGTGACTTTGTCCTCAGGTAGCCGATATGTAATTTTGGGTGAAAGTAAATTACAGTTTATTTCAGTTTAATCCTAAACCTATCTATTTGGTATTTTGGAGTAGATCAAACCGAGAGAAAAATTCTTGGTCTTAAAAAGGAGTGTTCTGATTGCTCTGGGTGTTGTGCTGGTTGCACGCTTTGGCCACTTGAAGCATGTTAATAAACGTCACTGATTAAAACAGCTGGAGCATTTCTTGCCCCATTCCAGTTAAGGAGCAGCATGCTGAAATCCTAGCATCTCTCACTCACCTATAAGGACAACATACCGGCTGAGAGAGAACAGAAGCGGGTGGAAGAGTCAGCGAGCTCAGTCCCCCTTCATCTGTTCTGCTGTTCTCCTTGCTCTCTGAGTACACAGAGTAATATTTCCTTTTTCCTTTTCCCAAAGAAAGGAAGGTAAGGGGGAAAATAAATTTACGTATTTAGACCAGTCATATTCTGTTGTTAATTTAGCATAGATCCGTTGTATATTAGAGCAACTGAGTATAATATGAAATAAGTTTGACTAGATCAAATTTTAGGATATAGTTGAAGTTCTTAAATTTTTTTCTATTGTATCTAAAATCTTTCTAATGTATCTAAATCAGGATCTTTCATGCTGCAGCAAATTCATATCACTGTTTACCAGCTGACTGACAGCATTTATCAGCATCACCATTTAGCATTTTATTTTATCATCTTTGAATTGGTAGGCTTGATTTGGATTGTTCCAAAAAGCATAGGTTTAAACTGGACTTAGTTAAAATAAAGGCAAATAAAATTTAAAAATGTAAATGCGATGTTGCACAAGAAATCAGTTGCACATTATCAATTACATTTTTAGTTTTAAAAGAGAGGAAAATTACTACTAAATCACATGGTATTTTGGGGCATTGAAGGAATTTTTCTTTCTCTGAAGAGCATTGTACAATTATATTTTTATGAAAAATAAAATATCTTCACTGGAGCCATTTCAGGTTGTCTGTTTCACAACACTGAAGTATGTCTGTATAAGCATAGTAAAAAGAGTATGAGATTTAGGCAGAACTGGTCTTGAATCCATTTTTTGCGTCACCTTGAATTATGTACTCTCTCGGCTTATTTCCTCATATGTAAGAAAGTGGGAGGATAATTTCCAGAGTAATTGGTAGGCTAAATAGAGTTATGAGAAGCTACTTCTTAAGTAGTACAGAATTATGTTAAATTTTAAATATTCATGTGTGCCTGGGTTTGACTATTAAGATTTAAATCACTAACGATAAATATATTTAATGGTCTGGAATCTAAACATGTAGTATTGCAGGCCTCATGTTTCTGAAGTCTTTTTAGCTATATCATTATGTCTATCCCTGGAATGGTGTATAGTTGCGGGCTCTTCTTAGCAATAATAGCCTTCTATTAACTAGATTAATTTTAAGAAGTTAATGTTCCACCTGGCAGTAATCCTATCATCTGGATAAAGCAGGTTTTCAGGCTGCTAGGTAACCTGGCTCACTTTTCCCTTATTCCATCCATTTTACTTAATTACACAGTATCATGAATCGAAGCGGGACTGCTGTGTGAGGTTGTGCTGAATGTGCATTGCACAGAGGCACCCAGTTGAGGAGGCCTAAAATCGACCTCACGTTCCTTTCAACAAGCCACGTGAGGAGGAAAGGGTGCCTGCCATTGCTCACCGGGTCACACGTATGGTGCAGGTCTGCCCGGAGAGGAGCCTTTCTTAATCCCTCTACCTGGAGGGTGCCTTTCATAAAACGTGCAAAACGACAGTGTGCTGCAGCTGGTATATTGCTGGCCCCAGAAGAAAGCCAATCATGTGCATCTATCCCAACTCCATGCTGAGTGACATCAGATTGGTAGCTTTTAATCAGCAGTGATGGGAGTACTGACACCACAGAAATCAGTAAATGCTACCAATCAGGGATTTCCCTCCCCTGCCAGAGAGTTGGTTTCCAGCCGACCACTGTAAAGGCCTGGTGTAGGCCAGCATGGCCCTGACCCGAGCAGCCACATTTGAGGCCCCACGTATCTGACTGGAGGACACATGGAGCTGGAAGGACTCTTTGTAAGTCTCTAGGAAGTTTGGAGGCATCCATGTCAAATTCAGATTACTTCACAAGACAGATGGTGGTCGTGACTCAGAAACGGTTATGGGTTGCAGAGAACTACCCAGGTGAACTCTAGAAATAACTGGGAGGCAGATCAGCTGAATTCTTAAAGCAAGCCTTGGGGTCAGAGTGGGTACAACTAACTTACCTATTGCTTTGTGACACAGTGCTCCCAACACTCCCGGGCTGGGGGTTGGGCTGCAGTTGGACAGTCAGCTTTGGCTTACAGGCCATTTTGACTCTGCAGTTAGATAAGTATTTGAGCAGGAAAAATCTCCTGAGATCCAACAGAACCCAATTCAATCCTGCCATGCCTCAGCGCCCCTTTCCTGAGAGGCAAACAGTGCCTGACAAGCCCCAAACTTTACAGCCCCGAACCTGGTCAAGTCAGCAGGCTAGAAATGACGATGCCTGTGCCTCCACTAGGTAGCCTTGGATAACCCAGAACCAGCAGGCCAAAAGCCCACACTGAGTTCTGGGTTTTCCCACTTCAGTGGAATGAACACCATGCTTGCCGATACCACAGGAAAAGAAGGTATAGGGTTAATGACAAAAAGTAAATAGTAATGCCCCTCAAACCTCAGGCCCCTAAGGAAATGAATTCCAACAACAACCACGTGATCCTGCAAGCAGATGCTACCTCCACTGAACCTTCAGATGAGACCCTGACCCTAACCCTGTGACTGCAGCCTTGTGAATCAGAGGACACAGTTAAGCTGTATCCAGATTCCTGCTCACAGAAGTTATGAGATTTAAAAAAATGTGGGTTATTATAATCTGTCAAATTTGGGGGTAATATGCAATAATAGATAACTAATACAATTGTTCCATTTTTTTCCATGTGAAATATAGATTTCATATTCAACTTATAAAAATAAACTAGTTTAAAATATCTTCCAAATAATAACAAACAAAAAAATAACCATACTCCTTTTTGTCAGATCCCATATTCACCAAGCAACTTCCAGATTCCCAATTATTCCAAAATCAGTAAGAATGTGCCCTGAATAAGTCATCTAAGCATTCTGGTCATTGGAAAGGAATATATCCCCTTGAAAATCAATACACTGGCCTCTGGTTAATATACTTCAGTCTCCCGAATAAATGTGAGGGTGACTAGGGAGTGAAGAGTCAACCTTAGTCTGTGGGGTCAGTTCTGGGACAGGTGGAGCCAGGTTGGGATAATACCACTAAGATCACTAGCAGTTTCCCGAGGCCAGGTGATGAATGCCGCTGCACCCAGCCTGCGTGCATCCAGCCTGCAGGTGATCTTAGCTGCCAAAGGGCAAGGTCTCACTTTCACCTTCCACAAGGTGTGACAGCTCACATAAACCAAAAAACGGAAGCAGGTGCTATTGGAGATCTCTACCTAGTCTATGAAATTACATTGAGTTTTAATATGTGGCCTGTTCTAGTTGAGGGTTTCTTTAAACCACAAAACGGATAAATATAGGCAGTGTTTTTCCCCTTTGTCCTCCAAACAGTATACTCACATATCTTTTCTTAAAAAAACAAAAAAGCCATAAACCATTTAGCTGGTTTAAATTTTTCTTCAAAATAAACTTAAAAGTTCCTTACAATATTTGTGTTTGTAAGTTTGAGTCTGGATTTTCATTGTGTTTCTTTGCCCCTTCACTCCAATTATCAAATAGCTTTAAAAAAACAAAAAACAAAAGAAAAACTATCTTGACTTCAATTTCACTTGATTTCACTTAGATTTGTTTCGAGTTACAGTACAATTCACTTATGGTTCAACTGAAAATATATAATGGTTACATGTTTTTAGCTACAGAGTTGCCTACAATTAACTATGGCCAGGAGTGACTTAAGTCCCGTTTCACTGGTTTTTCTTATATTCGACTAGAATGGTTAAATTAACAGTTGAAACTGATTTCCCTCCATCAGTTCTTTCTACTGTATATGTGGAAATCGCAACACAAGAATGATGGTAAAAGGCTGCATTCTCAAGTGTTTTCATATCCTGAATTTAGACCATGCCTTCTTAATAGTTCAAAAAAATCCCCTTTGGAGTGAGTGAATAGAAGTAGCTCTGTCACCTACCTCCCATTCAAGTTCCTGTTCCCAGGTGTTCCTTCCCCCTGAGTCTGCAAAATATTAGCAGAACTAAAAAAGAAAGAAAAGAAAAAAAGCTAAAGAAGGAAAACGATGCCACAATTTGAGAATGGTATTAAAAAACTGTTTCTACTAGTTAGCACATAGCAGTAGGTGCTGAAGAACTTGAAAATGGAAAAATCCATTGGGTTAGCAACAACTAAATTCAAATAACAACAATAGAAAACCTTTTTTGAGGGCTTCCCATGTGTTTGGTAATGCACTGAATGAATGATTTACATGGGTCTGGGCTCATTTTATTACAATCCTATAAGGTGGTATGATAGTCTTACATGTCAGCTACGGTAGAATACCAAGTTATTTAATCAACACTAACCTAGATGTTGCAGTGAAGGTATTTTGTAGATGTGCTCAACAGCTACAACCAACTGACTTTAAGATTATCCTTGATAATATGGTTATCTACTCGGTTAAAGGCCTTAAGAGCAAACAAAAATGAGGTTTCCCTAAGAAGAAATTCTGCCTCAAGACTGTAGCATCAAATCCTGCCTGCTGGCCTGCCCTAGATTTCAAACTGAAGACTGCAGCAACTACCTGAGTTTCCAGCCTGCCACCCACCCTACAAACTTCAAGCTGGCTGACCCCCTTAATTGCAAGAACCAACTTCTTAAAATATTGTCATCTATCCACCTATATATCTGTCATCTATGTCCTATTGGTTCTGCTCTTCCTGGAGAACCCTAATACAGGTAGGCATGTTATTTTCCCCATTTTAAAAATAGAGAAGCTGGGGTTTGAGAATTTGCTGGTTAAACAGGTGGTAAGCAGAACCTGAGCTTCAACACAGAAGTTGATTCCAGAGCCCTTGAAAACAACCATCATACTTGTGATTAAGGAAAACTTTGCTGGCTGGAGGTGTCACTGGAGTCTTGTGCCCAGTTTTTACTAATTTTTAAAGGGTCATTCAAGTATATATAGTCCATCTACCTGGAGAATCAGCCCAGAATTTTAATGAGTCTGGACTGATGAATAGAGTATAAATCCATTCTTCTCAGACACTGTGCTCCCCACCCTCTCCACCATAAAACTCTTCACAGATCTTTTGCTGCCCAGGTATCCATGCCATGGTCCGCGTAGCACATTCAGGGTCCTACTAGCAGAATATAGTCTCCTAAAACAGAGCACTCTTTGGAAGGTATTGCAGGGAAGCAGAATAGAGAGGATTCATTCAGAATTCCCTTATAGTTTTCATTCCCCATATCTAGCTGTTGTGGGCAAACAGCTGAAACTGCTATATTGACTGTCTGCCACTGAAAACCAGATGATGTTCTCAAGCTTCCAGACCTGCATCATAACCCTGAAACCAGATACACACACCCAGCATTTCTGGGGGTCATTTTCCTGCAGAGTTAAAATCACACATTCTTCAAATTATAGGTGAATCCTAATTGTATAACTCAATTAGGGTTGATGAGAGTTTTTAAAAAGCAATACTTTTAAAGAGGCTTCTTCTAGTAAGTCAGACAGAAAAAGACAAATATCATATGATATCACTTACATGTGGAATCTAAGAATGATACAAATGAACACATTTACAAAACAGAAACAGACTCACAGACATAGAAAACAAATTTATGCTTACCAAAGGGGAAATGTGGGGAGGGATAAATTAGGAGTTTGGGATTAGCAGATGCAAACTACTATATACAAAACAGATAAACAACAAGGTCCTACTGTATAGCACAGGGAACTCTACTCAATATTCTGTAATAACCTATATGGGAAAAGAATCTGAAAAAGAATAGATATTTGTATATGTATAACTGATTCACTCTGCTGTACAGCAGAAACACAACATTGTAAATCTACTATACTCCAATATAAAATAAAAAATTAAAAAAAAAACAGAAATAGATTCACAGACATAGAAAACAAACTCATGGTTACCAAAGGGGAAAGGAGTGGGAGGGATAAATTAGGACTTTGGAATTAACAGATACACACTACTATATATAAAATAAATAAACAACAAGGACCTACTGTATAGCACAGGGAACTATATTCAATATCTTGTAATAACCTATTCGAGAATGGAAAAGAATCTAAAAAAGAATATATACTTTTACCTTCAGGTGTCCAGTTTACACCTGAAACTAACACAACATTATAAATCAACTATGCTTCAATTAAAAAAAATAATAAGGAGGCTTCTCCTGAGAAAGACAGAGCTTTTGAACAGAAGTGTTCAGTTGAGCAAACAATTCAGAATGGCCCAGACTGTAGGTAGGGGCTCAAAAAATTCAAGAGGGTCTGAGGGAAATGAGACGGGCCAAAAATATAACTGCCTACCTACCAGGAACACAGGAACATTTACTTTTAGGGAAAGTCTAGATTACACTGCTATGGAATCCATAAATTCTGAGAGTCAAATAATAAAAGGAGAAAAGAGAGAGGCCCTGGTAAGTGTGGGTGGCATAACTGCGTGTTTGGTGAGATGGGGTTTTTCGAAAATGCTACCATTTGTAAAATGGGTTTAAAATAATATTTTGACTAGTGATTTCATGTCTGTAAAGGGTATTAATTATTTTGGAATTCCCTCCTATGTTGAGATGCTTTGTGTTTTGAACACACTGATTAGTTAATCTGCAGCTGCTGCTCTGCGTGCTCAGCAATTTTCACTGTCTTGTTGCTATGCAACGAGGACTTTCCCCCAAATCGCCAGTGTGCCAGGCCCTGTGAAGAGCTGTTGGGGTCTGCCTACTGGCCACAGTGCCACCAAGCGGTCGTTCTGCAAAACAGTGGCACCAAGCTGGTTCGTTTCCATGGCTGTCTAATCACGGCCCCCTAAGGTCGTCTCTGCTCCAGATGAATTAGCAGGTTCATTAAGCAATGGGGAATTATTTATTCTTTTCATATTCTTCCCAACACAGTGAGGATTTGTTCACTCCAGTGAATGCATCATGCCAGCGGCACAGCAAATTTGAAGAATGTTGGACTGGTCGGCAGAAGGCATTTTTGTTTACCCCTACATTGACCTCTCTTGGACATAATTTGCTCTTCTAAACAGTGAGGGGCTTGGGTTAGGTCTCCCAACGTCCCATTCCTTCTACTCTAAAAGTCGAATTCTTTGCTTCTGTTACGTGTGGTTTTTATAAGGAGCATAACCTTGAAGCTGATCCTGGTCCAGCAGCTCCAACAGATCTTTCTTCTGTTGCTTCAAAGCAAGTTTGGCAGGTAGCAGCAAGGCTGGAGGGAGAAGGGAAGCACTGCGCCCACCAGGAGAGCCAAGAGTGCCAACCTTATCTGGCAAATGACTCTGCTCCCCACATGCTTGGTGGAGGTCCCCCTGGATGAAACTGCCCTTGCTGAGAACTCTGGCCCAGGGCATTCATTGGTCCCAGGCACCCTGGGGAAACCTGTGACGGAAGGTCCACAGAGAAGTGTACCTGAGCAGGATGTGCTGATGGACTTTGGGCAGCAGGCTGGTGGCACTAATGATTTCACTGAAGATTAGAAGGAAAGGAGAAATTTGAATTCCACCTCAAAGGATGCGACCCTGCCCCTTCCTCTGATGGTCTGTGGGCACCTGGAGCCAGGGAGGGGAATTGCTCTCCTCAGAACCCTGCTCCCCGTTAGCTTTCCTGAACTCCTGGTTGGAAGCTACATGAATCCACATTCGTGATGCACTTCGTCATGTGCCTGATAAGGAGACTGGAGTCGTTTTCCTATTCCCCCCAACAGCCTGCCTCCCTGTGCTTGGCAGGTAAACGTGAGGTATGGTGAATGTTGTCCCCGTACTGCTGGGACTTATGCAAATCTTCATCAGTCTGTGCATTACATCCAGTTTCTTCCAAATTCAGGATCAAGTGAGACAACAGGAATCCTAAATATTAAACTAATAAAATAAAATAAAATAAAATGAATTATCCACATGCTGAGAAAATGTAGCTGAATTATCATAGGTCATGAGACTTCAGAGCTCTCTCCATTGTGATTTGATTAACACTCTTTAATTTGTCATTATTTGGGGGGATTTAAAAAAAAACTAATCTCGATAACAAGAGTTTGTAAGAGGTTGTCTCACTCAATTTCCACCCACTGGGGTAAACTCACAGAACATTAAGGACAGAATGGAGCTTTGTAATCATCTAGTCTTTTTTGGTTTAAACTGAGACCTAAAATACATATATAAATAAAATTAAAGTAAATGAAATTTTACTTGTTACAATCTGACTTTAAAAAATAAATTAAAAAAAAAGTACTGCAGGGTCTCTTCTATTTTTTAACAACTCTGAACCACAAAATATCAGGGCCATGTGACATAAACATCTGGCTCATTTTGTCTGGTCAGCTATTGGCTGATAGGATAAGGAAGAATATGTGGAGGGGAAAGAAAAGGAAGAAAATACAAGACACTTTTTATCTTCTGACTTTGATTAAAGAAAGCACCTCCACTTAAATGCATCAGCTCTATAGATGTTTTGTGGATGGAATACTTTACTGTTCTCATTCTCTGCCCCAAATACCAAGCCTAATCTTGTTTCCCTGTGTCTGCGAGGTGGGATGTACAGCTTCTTTCCCATTTCAGACGTTTAGCACCACCAGCCCAGGAACCTAGCCACAGCCAAGGAAAAGGTGAGGGCCAGCTCACTAAATTTCTAGACTCTCCTGTTAAGAATGCCACGTTCTCCCAGACCTCAAGATTTCCACGCAGGCAGCAGCCATTAGGCCCACAGAGGTCTGGATGGGTTTGGCTACTCATGTATTCCATAGGGAGAAACCTGTCTTGTCAAGGAAAGAGCAACAGACTTGCAGTTAGGGGACCTGAGTGTGAAAAACAGCTCGGTCACACTCCGACTTGGGCAAGTCACGTAGGGATGATAATAGGAACATCACAGAATACTTGAGAGGATAAAGTGAGATAATACAGGTAAAATCACTGAACAACTGATATTATTATTTGCAATTCTCGTTAACTAGGGTGTGAAAATGCACACCAGTCTTGTCTATAAACCCGTTATTGTTTGAATAAGTACATCTTTAAAATGTGC